CTGAAGAAGGCCGGAGCGTACAACGGCCGAAACGTTGTGACAAATATGGCGACAAAGATGAGGACAATAGTCCGACTAATGTAAATACTGTACATAATACCTCATCTCAGAAATATAGACAGACTCTGAAGGATCGGTACGGACCCGATATACCAAAAATATGGAGACAAAGTGAGAAATCCTACCAAAAACTGGCACGAATATAGAATTATTATATTGAATTAATTGCTCGGTCTGCTGTTAGGAAAGTTCACTGTTCATTCTAGATAATTTTTCTCTACATAATCTATCTTACATATTTATAATCCTACCATTCGTCCATGCATTGAATATTGTTATCATATATGGTTTGGTGCTTCTGCTATGTATTTAGAGATTCTTCATAAAATTCAAAAAAGAATCTGCAATGTTATTAATCCTGTCCTCGCATCTCCGATCCAGTCACTTCCTCACCGTAAAGTAACTTCCCTCTGCCTTATAAATACTTTCATGGTAATTGTTCTGATGAACTTTCCTCTTTGGTCCCTAAACATTATGTATTTAAGTGCAGTACTCGATTGGCGGTAAGGTCTCATCATTTTATATTTTAAATGACTAGCTGTAACCATAAGTTTTCTGTTAACATTTATTTCTCTCGCCCTTCTCGCTTGTGTAACTCTCTTCCGGCTTCATGCTTTCCAGTCAACTTTGTTGTTCAAAAGTTTAAATGCAATGTCAATTGTCATCTTCTGTCACCTTAAATCCTGTTTTTTTTTATTCTCCTCTCTCTTTAATAATGCCGATGACACAAACATTTACTCCTGTCTCAATAATAAGTCTGATAAAATGAAATTGGCTGGTGATCTAAAAATGGCCTAAGTTTGTTGCTAACTGGTTCAAGGAATGGCTACAAAACAAAACATCTCTCTGTTAGTTACTTAACTGACCCTTTCCTGCCTCCTACCAGCATGGCTGATGCTAACCTCCATGAGAGTGACTCGTTACATCTTCTCACTCTCACATTCTAAGCTGATATGAAATGGAAAGATTATATTGAATCCATTGCTAGGTCTAAAGCTAAGAAAGTCAGTTCATTGTGTCATGCTAGACAGTTTTTCTCTCCAAAATCTACCTTGCATATTTATAAATCTCCCATTCGACCATTCTTTGAATATTGCTGCCAAATCTGGTTCAGTGCTCCTGCTGTATATTTACTGATTCTTCATAAAGTCCAAAGAAGAATTAGCAATATTATTGGTCCTGACCTGGCTTCTCAGCTTCAGTCACTTTTCCATCATCATAATGTAGCTTCCCTATGCCTTTTCAATAATTACTTTCATAATAATTGTTCAGATGAACTCTTCACTATGCTACCTAGACTTTATAAATTTAAGAGCAGTACTAGATTTGTGGCAAGGTTTCATCAATTCACAGTTCAATTGTCTAGATGTAAGTTCTATGCTAATGTTTTCTTTTCAGACTTCTCGCTTGTGGAACTCTCTTCCGGCTTCATGCTTTCCAGTCAACTTTGACCATCAGAAATTTAAATAAAATGTTAATTGTTATCTTCTGCCTTCTTAATAACTCTTCTTTTATTGTTCTCGTTCACTAATGTTTTTTCTTTTCTTTATAATCTTTCACACTCAGTCACCTCTTGTGCCTTTATTGCCTTGCTAGGAGTGGAATGATTAAAAAAAAAAAAAGAAAATCTATAAGAGCTTTTTTTTTGTTTCCGATTTACAGCTTTACTACTTTCTGTACTTAGGCAATGTTTCTGGAGAAAAGATTTACTAAACAGGAAAAGGAAAAAAGCTTGTTACAAATGGATGGTCTCCCTCGAAGGGACGATCAGTCGAAGTAAATTTATTTGACCTTTTAAAATTATTTGAAATGTTTAAATATATTATTATTTTTGTGTGAGGAAATAAATTATCAACGATATATATATATATATATATATATATGAAAAATATACTGAAAAAAAACAAACAAAAATATACGATTATGCTGTTTTAATGTTTAATGTCAACGTCGGACGTTTCGGTCTAATAGACCATCTTCAGGACATATTCATAAAACATAATTAACATAGACCATATACAATTCAACATGAAAAGGCGATGGACATAAAAGCACGACGACGTGATCATATTTAAACGGAACGCTGATCTTATAAAAGATTTCAGTTATCTGTTTGGATTGGTATTGCTTTTATGTCCATCGTCTTTTTCATGTTGAATTGTATATGGTCTATGTTAATTATGTTTTATGAATATGTCCTGAAGATGGTCTATTAGACCGAAACGTCCGACGTTGACATTAAACATTAAAACAGCATAATCGCATATTAGGATTTTTGTTTGTTTTTTCAGTATATTTTCTTCATACTGTCGGATCTATATCCATATATTTTATTTTACACACACACACACACACACACACACACACACACACACACACACACACATATATATATATATATATATATATATATATATATATATATATATATATAATTTAAATAAAACAGACCACTTTAAGGTTCCATGTAATAAATTATTTCACCATAGCCCTTTTAACAGGACTGTGGATCATCAGACTTTACTTCCAAACAAACAATGAAAAGAAAATTTACACATTTTTGACGGGCCGTATTAAATTAACAAAGTGAGGAAGTGAGGGGGGAGAGAGAAGACCTGAGTGAGTTAGCAGATATTGACACATTTAAACGGTTAACTTAACGGAAGTTATATATTGATATCGAAGGGGTAGAGAAGAAAAAACTGTTAGAGAGAAAAAGAGAGAAGGAAGTTAAGAGAGAAGAGAAGAGAAGATGTCACTAATTTTCTTTGTAAAAAAGCTAGAAACAGACGATGTTATTTTGTTTTACTTTGAAAGTGTTATTTTGGGGGTTCATAAAGATTAATGTTTGATATAAATTTGGATGTCTCTAGACTGTCTACAAATAATTTAATTTGATGTTTGTTAGTGACTTAATTTTTTTTTTTATTTAAATTATTTGCTCTGGATTTACATTGAGTTCTCTGGATTTTATCCTTAGGTTTACCCATACGGATTACCTAGTTTTTCATAAACTATATATATATATATATATATATATATATTACATGAATCATTCATACAAGAAACAGATTAGAGAAGTTAATGATATAAATGGCAAGAATACATCTTCGCAAACAAATTTATTAAAATTACATTAACCCACGAACCTCTAGATGAATATTGTGATCCCCGTTTTTAATAAATTCAACTTGTATAAGGTCTTTTTTTTCTTTTTTTTTTTTTTGGTAGTACTTTCATCTGTTCATACAGACATAATCAGGCATGGGAATTGATTTGTTTTTTTTAATATATATATGGTAATCTGTTGATATATAATCCAAGTGAATCCTATTAACATAAAATAAAACATTAAACATTAAATATCAAAACTGATTCACATATAGAGCTCAATGTTTTTATAATAAACAGAGAAATATATATCATACAGTTGCAATTAAAATACTATAATGTAAATGATCGTCTTCACCTTGGGTTCCACTGACTGTTTAAAAAATCCTGTAAATTTAATTTTACAAGATGAAAACGATCATTTACATAATGCTATCTTAATTCGGATTCTATGATATATATATATATATATATATATATATATATATATATATATATATATAGTCTTAAGATGTGCTATATTTATGGGATAAAGTGCTCAATATCAGAGATAGAGCGTGTGTAAATATAAAAGTGTGGAACTCTCTTCTGCCGTCTTAATTCCTGTTCTTTTATTGTTCTCTTTCCTTAATGTTTTTCTTTTTCTCATTTCTTCCACACTCCCTAGCGTTTTAGTGGCTTTGTTGCCTTGCTTGGAGGGAAATTATTATAAATAAAGGAAATATGTTATCTGCGCATTCATTTGCTTATTAGACAGATTTTGTGAACAGACTGTACGAATATGTGAAAATATTATGCTTTTTTTAAGCATATTAAATATTTTATAATCACTTTAAGATACCGTTTCCTGTGGTGAAAGACATTTTTATTTAATATTGGTTGTTTATCTTGTAATAGACTCTAAAATTTTGAGTCTTTCATTGCTTTGTATAAACATCCCGTATTAAATAGAATAATAAAAAATACGCATAACTTTTGATGCGTACTTTCTACTGTTGTCTCGCTTTCTTTCACCGTTATACTGTGAACAAACTTTCAGCTCTCTACAAAATACCATGATGTAAAACAACGTAAAATTTGCCTACCACACTGACAGCACATAGTTCTTCATAATGACTGAGACGCTTGAAAGTAGTTGAACAAAAACAATAGAATAAATATGAACTTCAGTCAGTTTATCCACAATTTCGATCCTGATATACGACATCTTAGGAAATTGGAAAATACTCTAAAGTTTTAAACAGACTACAGTGAATAATGAATTACCTATACAGTAAGTCCCCGGTTTACAACAGCACTGATCTACGGCAATTCGGGGTTACGAAGCAATTGTAACAGAGAGAAGTATACACACACACACACACACACACACACACACACACACACACACACACACATGAACGCACACATGCAAATATAACTTTTATAGACTGGAAATGGAAACGGTGTTTATATATCAAAGTACAATTTGGGTTAAGATGTGTGTTTACCGATGAGAAACACGATCTCAGGGCAGGAGGCGATGTTTTAAACCTGGGTCACTAGTAAACAATGGGGATGGGCGAGATACTTGGTTTTGTTTAACAGTATTTGTTTTGATTAAAAGGTTGAATCACTGTTTAGATATCCCAAAGTATAATTTTGGTGAAGCAAGAAGAACTCTTGATTGAGATGAGGTAAATAATTGGAGAATAGGTTTACATGTCAAGGGATAGTTTTTGGCACTCATGGTAGCTGCGTGCCAGGCCGAGGGTCAATTGTGATCAGCTGATCCTTTTTCTATATTAACTCGAGATTTTACTAATAAAAGAGAGTCGGGGAAAGAGACTTTAGTCGAGAGAGTCACGAGACTGTCGTCGCGGTGAGTCGAGAGATTTGCGGATGAATTTTGGAGGAGAGAGAGAAGACTTCCCCCTGTTCTGAGAAGTCTGTATGAGACTGGACTATTAGTAATAAAACTACCCCAGGCGATTCAATACGCGTTTATCTCTCTGTTGGGAATTCGCTGGATGCATTTTGCCTTTTTCTTTTCTCATTTATGTTAAATGTTTTTATTCTCCCTGTAACCTCTGTTCTGATGTTATCTTCTTATACAAAAGACGTCAATATTTCCTCCATTGTTGTCTGGCTTCTTCAGATATTATATTTTGCCACATTCTAAACTTCCTAGCGCCAACTCTCACAGCCATGTCCACATCCCCAGTCGACCGTGAACGTATGGACAACACCCCGCTTACTGGATCTAAAAACTAACACAGCGTGGGCAGCGAGCAGGACTTGACCAGTTGACCGGTCGAAATAATCTACGGGTACTCAGGGAGCGTACGGCCAGTTACCCCTAAGTTCAGTTCGGACCGAGTGGACACCTCAACCCAAAGAGGAAGACGCCGGAGGTTGAGGGGCTGGGGACGAAGTGGTAGACAATCTCCATTAATCTTGTTTCGACTTATGCCGTTTGTCTCGTACATACATTTTCATTATATTTATTATTTACATTTCGTTATATGTATTATATTTATGTACTCCATGTGTATTTTTAGTCCTAATTATCTTATAGAAATGTGTTGTTATGTCTTAGGCCATAACTTTAACATTGCGTTAACACAGGCGAGTGACGTCAGTGATTATTCACAGAAAATCGCTGGTACGTTCCGACTTACATGAAAATCAGGTTACAGCGCGTCGTAAGAAAGGAACTCTGTCGTAAGTCTAAGACACCCTGTACTATTTCCTGATGATACGCGGTGGTGTAATGGATGGTAGCTCGGATTGAGAAATCGAAGAGTCGAGTTCAAATTCCAGTCGAGAGCGTTACATTCAATTACTCGCAAATACCTTTGAGAAAGGTATGAATCCAACTACGGATAAATAGGAGGACAGATTAGGCCTTATAGCCTAGGAGATGGAAAACTGAATTCAAACCGGCCTGGTTATGTTATCTTGCCCAAGACACATCACTCCTTCTACGGCTGCATGTTGTGATCCTAAGACACTAATCTTTCTTATCTTTAACCATATAATTTCTCAGAACAACTAATAGATGAGCGAGAAGCAACCACGCATTAATAACTGTAACAGATTATATCGATAGGATTATCCCACCTTGTTTGACGCCTTCTAACGCTCACTAGATGGCGTTGTATACAGCAATTTAAAAGGGGAGGACACAAAGCATCTAGCCCTGGGTATGACGATAAATTACATCCAGCAGCAAGGCCTCTGATCGGGAGATTGGAGGTTTTGTAGGGTGTGGAATCACATATTAATTGCAGTTGTTCCCAGATCCACTCTAAACCGCCGTGGTAGTACCTGTTAGGGTCCCAGCTATGGGCAAATAGTGAAAATCCAAACAAAACCAAAACCTTATAAAAATACAATTTTATGGTAGAAATACCAGCAATAAATTTTGATAGTAAAAATACCAGCAATGCATTTATATATATATATATATATATATATATATATATATATATATAAATTACCAACAATATCTATTTATAGTAGAATTACCAACAATATATTTTATCTGTCGTAGAAGGCATAGAACTGCGTTCAAAATATTTAGATTTCGGTATTAAATTAACTATAGAGGTTGATATATCGCTAAACAAAATCAACCAATCAACACAAGCATCTCTCCTCTCTTTCTCTCTCTCTCTCTCTCACTCTCTCACACGCACACACGCACACACACACACACACACACACACACACACACACACACACACACACACACGATGCTGTAGTGATAAGCTGTGCCCTCTCCGGAAAGGCTCAATCAAACTCTATATCGCATTGTATACAACACTATCCCTTTCAAAAACTCTCCCTTTAAAAGAAAAAAAAACTCCTGTGACCACAATAATACCTACACTACATATTGTCACGTACATATATATCCTTTTCTAACAGAAAAAAATATCTCAGTTTAACAAAAGAAACAACATCTCAGCAAAATGGTGTACCCTGTAACAAAACCTAGTGCCATGACAAGTTCATCAAAGAAACATACTGTCAATCGCTTTCAAACACACAGTAGAAGGTTAATAGTATCTAGAAGAATGGAGTTTGCTCTCCAGTTCTGAGAGATGTTACACCTCGTTCTGTATATAAATATATATAAAATCCCTATATGTGTTGAATTCATTGATTTTAGATTGTGAATTTTTCAACCGATTCTCATTACACACTCAATGATGTTGTTTTTTTTGCAATTTACCCCAAATAAGGCGATAACATCACTAAGATGCAAGGGGCTACAAAGAGTGAAAGAAAATGAAGGAACCGGACACCCAATCCTAAATAAAGAACAAAGGATAAACAGGACTAGAGGTTTATCCCTTGATCCCTATTTAAGATTGGGTTTCCAGTTCCTTCTAAAGTCTTTTCATTCTCTTTCATACATAATAGCCCCTTGCGTCTTAAAGACATTATCACCTTGCTTGTCTCGAGGCAAGGTGTGTGTGAACGGGACGATATGCAAACCTATCTACTCCTATTGAGTAAAAGAAAAAAAGCTTTTCAAGCCGAGATCTTAGGAGTATAAAATTGAAGTAGACTTTACAAGGAACCAGAAACCCAGTCCTAGACAGGGAATTAGGGATAAACCTCTACTCCTGTTCAAAAGACCGAGAAAGAGTGTAAACCTGACGATACGTAAACAGGTCTACTGTTATGTTGCACGTTGAGACGAAGTGATTTCAACATTCGGAGAATGATTTCCGTCATCAAATGTTTATGGTCTCTCATTTTACACTCTGTTCCAGCCAAGAATGTTTTTCGTACATTTATTAGTGCAACTACGAGCAAATGACTATTATTTGAGACTACAGTAGTAAACGCTGGATAGAGTTTTTTCGGGTGATTTTATTAGGAGAGGGTTTCTCAGTAAAGTTTCCCGCCTTTTTTCCTCAGTTTTTCTATGCACAGCTATTCAGAAAATGAGATATTAGTGAAGATGTCAAAATGGGGAATGACCTTAAGTAGTCTGGAAAGATATGACGGAAGGAGAAGGGGAAAAAAAGTGAAAATGGTAAACAAAGGAAGAAAAAAATAACGAGAGAAAGAAGTGTGAAAAGAAAGAAGAAGAAGATGGAATGTAAAAGGGTGCATAAAATTTTTAAAAAGAGTGACGAGAGAGGAATGTAGTGGACATGAAAGAAGGAAAAGAGAAAAGAAAAAGACCAGAACAATAAAAAAAAAACGTAATAAAAAGAAAAAAATAAAGCTGCATAGAAAAAAAAGAAGAATGATTGTAGGAAATAAAAAGAAAGAAAGAGAATACAGAGAAGGCGATAATATTTTCTATGCGTTTAACGTCTGCGTCAGTGAAATAGAAAAAAGAAGTCGTCAAATTAAGAACGTTTAATTAATTTGTACCCGATTACTTCTTTAAATAATGCGATGTATTCATTCTTATGATTGTAATGGCAATATTTTGTTAATGTTGTTAAACTCAAATACTAAGGTAATTCCTACGAACATTATATAGTCATGGAGAATCATTAAAATTATTATTCATTAGAAAATTAACATAGAAAACCGTGAAATTTCCACGGGAACTTCTAGTTTTTGTTTTTATATATATATATATATATATATATATATATATATATATATATATATATATAGTGTAACCCGGATATAAGAGACCCTGATATAAGAGAAACCCGGATATAAGAAAGATTTTCTCTGGTCCCAAATTAGAGCCCATACTTACCTAAACAAAATAGACCAAACCCGGATATAAGAGACTTATTCTCCGGTCCCGACAACTCTCTTATATCCTGGTTACACTGTATATATATATATATATATATATATATATATATATATATATATATAGTGGAACTTTGGTTCACGAATTTAATTCGTACCCCGAAGGGCGTTCGTAACTCGAAATGTTTTTCAATAGGAATCAATATAGAGAAAAAAGTCACAGTACAATAAAATTGGAAACAAAAGCACAACACAACAAACGAATGAATACAACACGGCGGTCGACTCAGAAATTATTTCTTTCGTGTTAACTTGGTTCGACTATGCTGTTCGAGAAACGAAATTTTGTTCGATAACCGAAACATTTTCATCTCGAATTTTCTGGTCGAAAACCGATTTGTTCGATATGTTGCACTGCACACACACACACACACACACACACACACACACACACACACACACACACATATATATGTTGTGTGTGTGTTTGTTTGTATGTGCCTGCCTGTTAATGTGAGTGTTTGTGTGCAAAATCTTTTAAGAATGTTCTCAAGTTTTTATTAACGAAATCCCTTCTCAAACAGAAAGCATTCCTAAGAAATTTTCCATCTTGTCTTTCTTTTACTCAATATTTATATATATATATATATATATATATATATATATATATATATATATTCTTTTTCAAATTTTCTTCAGTTTAGAGAGGATACGTATGGTTCGTGGTATTCGTGTCACCAGTCTAAGATTCCTGACTAGATAATAATAAACAATTAAATTCTTTCGACCCTACCCTTACCAGCTGACATATTCCACGGCCCTCGCAGGCGGAACTCTGTCTCAAGAGTTCCGGTGTCAAAAACAGCAAATGATGAGTTCACCATTGTTCTTGTGGCGGTCACCCAATGTCAGTGCGAGACGACGTAACAATAAAAAAAAGGTGGGGTGGGGGAAAAAAGAAGGAGAGCGGAAAAGGAAAGAAAACAAAAAAAAAGTGCAACTTTTCTTTATGGAAAAGGTGTTATTTGATTATTACTTGCCGCCGTTGGATAAAGACAGGTCTTGAATACAGGTGTCAAAAGCGGCGTGCAGGGGGGTACCTGTATGGTAGAGAGAGAGAGAGAGAGAGAGAGAGAGAGAGAGAGAGAGAGAGAGAAGAGTGTAACTAAAGAAAATACTAGTAAAAGAAAAAACTAAGCATTTTATATATATATATATATATATATATATATATATATATATATATATATATATATATATATATATATATATATAAATATACTGAAAAACAAAACAAAATCCTAATATGCGATTATGCTGTTTTAATGTTTAATGTCAACGTCGGACGTTTCGGTCTAATAGACCATCTTCAGGACATATTCATAAAACATAATTAACATAGACCATATACAATTCAACATGAAAAGACGATGGACATAAAAAGCAATACCAATCCAAACAGATAACAGAAATCTTTATAAGATTCTGTTTATAAGATCAGCGTTCCGTACAAACGTACATGTAAGTTTTAGATCAAAATAAAATTCTTTTCGTTTTTCATTCAAAATACTCAAATTTTAGGAATACGTTTTCACAACATCGCCCACGTGACGACGACGTGATCATATTTAAACGGAGCGCTGATCTTATAAAAGATTTCTGTTATCTGTTTGGATTGGTATTGCTTTTATGTCTATCGTCTTTTTCATGTTGAATTGTAAATGGTCTATATTAATTATGTTTTATGATTATGTCCTGAAGATGGTCTATTAGACCGAAACTTCCGACGTTGACATTAAACAGCATAATCGCATATTAGGATTTTTGTTTGTTTTTTCAGTATATTTTCTTCAGAGAGAGAGAGAGAGAGAGAGAGAGAGAGAGAGAGAGAGAGAGAGAGGCACGGTGGAGTAATGGATAGCGGCTGGGATTGAGGAATCACAGAGCCGAGTTCAAATTCCAGTCGAATCCATTACATTCACTTACGTGCTAATACCCTTGGGAAAAGTGTGAATGCTTTTCTTCTACCTCCAGCTATGGGTAAAATAGCAGGACAGACTGGGTTCTATAGCCTTGAATGGCAACTGGTCTAGGAGAAGGACAACTCTGAATTCAAACCCTGCGGAGGGTCGTTTGGGGACCTTGTGGCACGTAGTGCACCAGGTCTCTGTATTCGGCCCTTCAAAAAGTGTGGATGGTCTTGCACGAAACCTTCACCACTATAATCAAATCTCGTGTGCTGTTGTCGGGCTGTCGGTCTGATCTGCTTGACCCTCATACGTCGAATTCGACAGGATAGTCGACTATATATATATATATATATATATATATATATATATATAACTTCCTAAAATATGTCTGTGCGTTCACTTTTATGCTGTGAATATTGGTTTATGAGATAATTTTTTTATTTACATTTTTTTTTTAAGCATTTCACCTCAAGCAAGGCGGGAAGCCACTAGGACGCAAGGGGTTACAGACAGTTTAGAGCAAGATCAGATAGGAGTGACAGAAGAAAGGATGGGGGTAGTCGATAGATCAAGGCAACTGGAGATATCGATTGACATTACACTTGAATAGCTGGAGATTATAGCTCACAGGGAAACAGGAATAGGGAAGGGAGTTCCGCAGGCGAGAGGTGCGGGGCATGAAGCTATTAGAGTAGAAGAGACGGCTACATTTAGGAGTTTCGACAGTGAAGGGGTGAGAGCGGGATGCCAGCCTCGTAAGGCGCTGGAACTCATGACGTCTGGGAACCAGCGAATGCAGCTCCTCGGAGCAATTTCCATGAAAGTATTTGTAGAACAAACAGAGGGAGGCGACGGCGCGTCTGTGAGAAAGTGACTGTAGACGAGACGCCAGGGCAGGGCCAACTACATTGCATATCCGCCTCTGGAGCCTATCAAGAACCCCGAGGCAAACAGAAGGGGCACCAGACCATATATGCATGCCGACTATTGTCCTCACAACATTTTGGCTGCAATGCTTCCAAGCTTTTCAGGTATATGTCAATTTCAGTCAAAAGCAGGGAATTTCGAACTGAACCCTTTATTCTCGTTGCGCTGCCCATGTCTCGTGAATTCTCGTCTAAATAAAGGGCTCTGTTCGAAATTCTCTTTAGCTTATTCGGATCGACAAACAACTGATGAAGGCCAGATGGTAAAACTCTGTGACAAAAACAAAGAAAGATGAAAGCGCGTGTAAATAATATAAACATTCGACATTCAAGCATGAGACTGAATCACAATGAAGTCTTGATTGTTATATCCACAGTAAACGTATCTAAAATATGTATACATAAACTTTCTAGCATAAATTATCATGCAATTGAAGAAGATATATCAAGAAAAGGAAAACAAAGAAATATCAAGAAAATAAAGAATAAAAAACGACGGATCTACATATATGCATATTCCTTTGAAAATCCTGCTTAATTTGTTAACTTTCGCGCCCATATTATTGGGGAAGGCTCCTCAACTCACGGTGGCCTCTATCAAATGCCTCGAGGAGGTAGCATTCCCATATATAAATGTTCTTTTCTTGCTGTAGGTTAAATAGCACTGTATGTTAGGGCTACAAGCTTTGGATGGCAGCCATTCTAAGAGCAGTGCCACTAGGAATTCAAAACCGAGGAGAAGACAACGTAAAATCACTCTGTTATCTTTCACAAGAAGACATAGCAGTTGAAAGATAATAGAAAAATCCGGTTATTGTCTACGACCGGATGAGATATGGCACTGATATATATATATATATATATATATATATATATATATATATATATATATATATATTACGATAAAACGTGCAATCAATTTACAAATACATGAATTATTCACACAAAACTAATGCAAAAGGTTAATGTTTTAAATGGCGAGACATCCATCATCGCAAACAATTCAAATAGTATACAAAAACCTCCAGATCCGTTATGAATGAATTGATCCTTGTTTATATAAATTTCTGCCGTATTAGTTGTTATTTTTACTACAAGCTTTCGTCTGTTCCTACAGACATCTTCAGGTATAGAATAGATGTTGTTTTTTGTTTTTTCTCTTAGTAATAAGAGGACAACGAAAATATATGTGTTGTTGTATCCGAAAATGCTATTGAAAAAGAGTTATTGGTTTTGGAACGCGCCAAAGCAACGCTGAGTTTGATTTTAAATTTTTAAAGTGTTTGCGTTTATACCAAATATGGTGATGAACAAATTTTTTTTACTGGTAAATTTTTCTGTCAAAGTGGCATGAACTTTTCAAAGCATTTTCGGATACAACAACACATATTTTCGCATTTTTACTAAGAGAAAAAACAAAAAACAACATCTATTCTATACCTGAAGATGTTGTAGGAACAGACAAAAGCTTGTAGTAAAAAAATAACAATACGACAGAAATTTATATAAACAAGGATCAATTCATTCATAACGGATCTGGAGGTTTTGTATACTATTTGAATTGTTTGCGATGATGGATGTCTCGCCATTTAAAACATTAACCTTTTATTAGTTTTGTGTGAATATTTCATGTATATATATATATATATATATATATATATATATATATATATATATATATATATATATATATACATACATACATACAAATGCAAAATATATAAATATATATACATACATGCATACACATCTCTCACTTAAACTGTCTTTGACTCACCTCTCTAAAACTTCTCTCTGTTAAGTTTTAATCCCCCACCTTCTCTCGTCTGTTACCCCTCTCTTTAGCTCTAAAATTCGTCCCACACTCTCATACTTACACTCTCTCTAAATTCTATTTTTTATTTCTGGAGTTGTTTTTTTCTGTTTTCTTTTTGATTTTGTAGGTCTGATGAATTGGATCGTATTTACGATTCCAATGGAATAAATTATGACCATGGAATATTAGTGTTTAAGCCTTTTTTTATTATATATATATATATATATATATATATATATATATATATATATGTGTGTGTGTGTGTGTGTGTGTGTGTGTGTGTGTGTGTGTGTGTTGTGTGTGTGTGTATATATATATATACGGTGTGATGGATAAATGGTCGCCACTTTATATTATTAATTTCGCGCATGAACACCATGACGCAATTCACTACACCAGCAATTTGGAAACGGCATGCTGTACTGCTTGGCATTTGCACCGGAAACCCTAATAGAAACATTTCAGAGTTTTGGGGTGTCAATTGGGGGAGAGTGCAGAGCATTCGGAGAGAGTTGAATGAGTGCAATGATGATTACGACGGTACAGCAGCTCGGAAAACACACTCCGATCGTTCTGATACTAAAAGAATTCCCGAATTTGTTGGCGTGGGCCTCAGACTCAGCACGGTGGCTTACATCAAATGCCTTGAGGAGATAGTGCTACCGTGAGTCAAGAGGGTCGCTGCTGGAAGACCCTATGTCTGGAAACAGGACTCTGCACCATGCTATGCAAGCAGGAGGGCCCAGTCATGGTTGTCAGACAATTTTTGCGTCTACATCACCCTTTAAATATGGCCGCCTAACTTTTCCAAACTGCAAGCAACCTGATTATTATGTGTGGGTTGTAGATGAGCGAGGACCAGCAAAACCTCTTGTAAAACCAAGGATGAACTGAAGGTAAGGATTAGAGCAATATTCACCAAATTAAACAAGGTGAGGGCCCAGAAGAGTTTCAGGAGATTCCAAAGTAGACACGAGGTTATAGCTGAAGCCAATGGCGATTTTATTGAATAAATTTACTCTTTAGTATTTCAGGATATTTCTGTACAATTTTGGTAAATATATCTGTTAAAATGAGATGTCAGTATATATACACTCTCTGTTAAATTACAAAAACTTATACTACCCATCAATTTTAATTTCATTTTTCGTTTCAATTCACTTTTGGAAGAGCTAAATGATGATCCGGCGTTCTTTAAAAAGGGCTCTGTTGAAATAAATTATTATAATGGTACATTAAAGTGGTCTGTTTTTTTAATATATATATATATATATATATATATATATATATATATATATATATATATATATATATTATAAATTAATTGATTTAAAATATGGTTATTTTTCGCTACACAGTTCCAACCATGTTTCAAAAATAGAAGCTAAAACCCTAATTTTATTTTTGCAAATAAATTAAAAGCATTAGTTCCATTTCATCTTCAAGCGAATTT